AACTGATGTGGTTTCTGTTTCCAAGTCCGACCTTGCCTTAGTTTGGGCTGCTATCACAAGTAACCCTGGACAGGGTGGCTTAAACCACAAACTCTGTTTTCTAACAGCTCTGGAGGCTGGAAGTCCACGATGAAGGTGCCAGCATGGTTGCGTTCTGGCCAGAGTCCTCTTCCAGACTGCGGACTGCTAATGTTGTATCTTTACACAGCAGAAAGAGACGAACGAGCTGGAGAATCTCTTCTTAGAAGGTCACTGATCTCGCTCACGAGGGCTCCACCATCATGACCTAATCCTTCCCAAAGTCTACACCCCCAAGATGTCAGTAATTCAACATATGAATGGGGGGGGCGGGGCACATTCAGTCCACTGCAGACCCTAACTAATACAAAAAGGAATTTGGTGATATCTACCAAAAATGACATGGATTTACCCTTTGACCCAACAATACCACAGCTAGTACCCTATGCAAAAAGATACACCATCTAGGATTTTCTTTGAAGCACTATTTATAATATCAAAGATAACACTATTTATAATAGCAAAGATTGAAAATGAAAATGTCTATCAATGGTACATGCACATAATAGAGTATTACAAAGTCATAAAAAGGGATGGGAAAAGGCTCTATATGCTGCTATGGAGTGATTTCCATGATATATGGTTAGGCAAAAAAACAAGGGGGAGAAAACGTATGTAGGATGCTGCTGCATGTCTAAGAAAATGAAGAATAAAAGCATATTCACATATCTGATTTCATTAAATTGAATTGAAAGATAAACCAAAAATAAGATACCTACTGGAGGTAGGAAAGAATAGGTTGAAGATTAGGATGCAAGCTAGACTTCTCTGAATATACCCTGTTTTACAGATTAAATTTTTAAAGGTCTGGCCACCAATTCCAACATGTGGGTGGGGAGGGTTCCCACCACCAACAAGCAATTCTCCGACACCAGCTGGGTGTCCTACAATTTAACTCAATTCTGACACTATCTACCTGGAGGCTAAGGGCTCAGTCCTACAAGACTGCCCCCCCACACACACACACTTCAGACACCAATCCAAAGTCCAAGTTATCAACTCTGCTTCTGACCAACTGGCTAGAAACTGGAGGTTCCAGCAACTCCCTCCTTGCATTCAATTAATTTACTAGAGTGGCTCAGAGAATTCAGAGAAACATTTTACTTACTAGATTACCAGTTTATTATAAAAAGACATAACTCAGGAACAGCCCAGAAGGAAGAAATGCACAGGGCAAGGGACGGGGGGAGGGTGTGGAGCTTCCATGCCCTCTTCAGGTGCACTACTCTCCCTAAATCTCCACATCTTCACCAACCTGGAAGCTCTCTGAGCCCTGTCCTTTTGGGTTTTTTGTTTTGTTTTGTTTTTGTTTTTTTTAAAGATTTTATTTTTCTCCTTTTTCTCCCCAAAGCCCCCTGGTACATAGTTGTATATTTCGTTGTGGGTCCTTCTAGTTGTGGCATGTGGGACGCTGCCTCAGCATGGTCTGATGAGCAGTGCCATGTCCGTGCCCAGGATTCGAACCAACAAAACACTGGGCCACCTGCAGCGGAGCGAGCAAACTTAACCACTCGGCCACAGGGCCAGCCCCCCTTTTGGGGTTTTATAGAGACTTCATTACATAGCCCTGACTGATTAAATCTTTGGCTATTGACGATTCAACCTCCAGCCCCTCTGAAATTTCCAACCCTAATCACATGGTTAGCTCCTCTGGCAACCAGCCCCATCCTTAGGCACTTTCCAAAAGTCACCTCATTAACAGAACAAAAGACACTCTTACCCCTCTTATCACTCAGGAAATTCCAAGAGTTTTAGGAGCTCTGTGCCAGAAACAGGATGAAGACCAACTATATATTTCTTATTACAAATCACAATATCACAACTTTGAAACCATAAATATAATTTACACAATCATAGATAAAATTAAATTTTTTAAAATGATGTCTTTCATAAACAAACAAAAACTCTATCCACTGAAAGGGCATTGTTTCTTCAAAGGTCAACCCAATAGCAATGAGCACCCCTAGTGCCTAGATTATGGTCTCAAATACCATTTCCTACCAAGAGGAACCAGGCTTCCTTGAGAAATGACAGGTTCTCAGTCCAGAGCAGAAAATGAACAAAGTGAGTGAATAAGGAAAGCCTGAAAGCTATCCGGGACAGCTGGGTTATATCAAAAGGACTCAGGAGCCAACTTGAAGAGATTCCATGAGAATATCTTCATTTGCAATCCCTAAGGATGAATGAGTCTAGGCAATGATTCTCAATGCCCACTCACATCACACAAAAAAGAGACAACCAGATATTATGTACCTCCTGATAAAAGTACACAACAACATCTATGAAGTATTCCCGTGCAAAACATGGAACTATAGTCTAGTCAAGGTTCAAGATACATGTACTGATTTGCAGGGGACAGAAGAACATATTAAATGACATCATGGAGATGCAATTAGCAAAATTCAGGCGATAGAACACTACAGGATGAACAATTATTTCGTCAACAAGTAAACTGCAAGGAAAAAAGAGAGTGTGTAAATCAGTAAATTAACAGAGAAAAGGTTATGGGTTTGATTTAGACAAGCTAATTGTTTAAAATTTTTTATGAGACAATTGGGGAAATTTGAACACAGATGGGATAGTTTAAGATATTTTGGAAATAGTTGACCAACACAGGCTCTGGTGTCTTGCTGTGGTTTGAGTGGTTTCCATATGGAAAATGGAAAAGGGGCAGGTTGACCCATCTTTGACATTGCTGGGAAAATAAGGACAGCCTGCATGGATGCAGGAGTGTGGATGCTTAGAAAAATATGGAGAAATCATAAAATCTCAGAGCATGAGAGGGTCTTTGGATTGTCACAAGCAAATAGCAGTAACATTTGAACCAAAATCAGCCAAATCTCTAAGGTGTGGAAGCTAAACTGATATAAGTTTCATATACATATGTCAGAAATTTCTGTCTCTTTATGGGTTTCAAAATTATTCGCATAGAGTATTTCACTGTATTAAATTATTTTAACATCCATATTTATAGTTACATATCTCAATGAATGTTTGCATATTTTGCCTCATTTTTAATTTGTCAGAGATTCACATGTTTTATTTATATTTTTTCAAAGTTCTCAGAATTAGTCAATACATATTTTATAATTCATTAATATTTTCTGTTTACTAATTTATATTTTCTTTAGTTTATTTTCTAACTTTTCCATTTTTTAAAAAATAACAACAGAACTTAAGGCTACACATTTGCAACTTTGTACAGCTTTGTTTGCCTCCAAAATATTTCTGGGGTAGAGGAAAGGGAGAATTGCAATGCTTTTTTAAAAAATATTATTAATGGAGCAATTTATCCTATGTTCACAAACTAGCTCTTGAGAAATACGAATACACACTATAAAACAAAGCAAGGTCGAGGCAATGATTCTAAAATAGAACACATTACAAATGAAATTATAAAATTTTATAAATGTGCTTCAAAGTAATCAAGGAAGGGAGGCAAACAGAAATGACAAGATTAGCCATGAGTTGATAACTGAAACTGAGTGGTGTCTATATGGGAGCTCAGTATACTAATCTGTCTACTTTTGTAAATGACTAAGATTGTTCATAACTTAAAAATTTTTAAATAAAGCTTAAGAAGTGACTAAATAGAAAAGTTTTACATTTCCAGCCTGGCAAAATTTGGTTAAGTTACAAGACAAGTTCAATAAACTGAATTTTTTCCTCAATGTAAAAACAAAATTACACAACTAAATTTGTGCCTGGTGACTTCAACCAAACACCATGGCACCCCCCACCCTCCAGCCCCCAAAATCAACACAGGTATCTCTCAGGGTTTGGGATTTTACCCTTCTTACAAGCTAATAAGAGCCTGTTATTGTTTTATCAGTATTGGCAGAAGACACAAGACTCCTGGTCACAGAAAAAGACTTTATTACTCATGGCACAGCAAGCAGCATGCGCATTAAGTCCTTGCCCCAGGTCCCATGGCGGTGATGTGCAGGGGCCCAAAAGAATGTAACGTAATACATGGATTTGAGTCGTAGATGAGGAATGCTGAGCTCGGAAATTCACCACTTTTCTACCATGACCCAGATTCAACAATTATAAATTCTTAGACAATACTGTACCATCTATACCTTCAAATGCCCGACTTTAGATAATTTCAACCCTCAAGTTTGTTCACTGTAAACATAACCCTGAGGAGTGGCGTCAGTAAAGAGCAGGCAGGACCTTGCATTCTTGGCATATGCAGCAAAAATGTGCAGCCATGCTCAGGGCCCAGGGAAGACTGCCTTCCCCACCAATCCACCCATTGTCCCCACAGGTCTTGGCTTCTGGCCGACTTTCACAAAAGTATGTCACTCTGTTGGCTGCTTTGATTAATTCAACCAACAGAGTCTAGAACTGAATCTGTCTAAACTTGTCTCATACAGCATTTAATTAAGGCTACTATCAACAGGACTCCAAACAACAAGATGAAGTTAACCTGCAGGATTGACCTCAAATACACCTTTCAGGGTTCTGGACTCAGACACCTGTCCCAGGGGAGACCAAGGGACTTTATTTCAGACAATCAGGATGTAGTCTAGTCTAAGGCTGGTCCATTATCCATTACAACCCATACAAGGGAGTTTACACTGACCTGCTGATCTTTAGTGTCATTGCTAATAATTACAGGAGGCAACAGGTGGACCAAAAAACAAACTGCATCCCCAGTGGAGAGACATTCCATGACCCATTTCCAGCCATACACAAACATAGAACCCAAGCAGGTAACTTCTATCACGATTTGTCATTAAATTTGATTTGGATCAGCATTATATCGGTTTGGCTATGTCCCACAGGCAGTGTCACTGAGTGGTTGCAGCCTCCTTTTCCATACATGGCATAACCCAAGACTTCTCAACCATCAAAGAAGCAAGTGAATTTGTAACAGACAGAGTGAAACGAGGTTGTGCCAGTCCCTGTGTTTGTACCTGTTTAAAGGAGCTCCATGTCGAGAGCTGCTATTGTTGGCGTCAGCACTGGAGAATAATTCAGGGTCAGCCATGTTCACAGATTGTCAGCTGCAGTTGCTGTTTGACTCAAGTGGCAGTGTTCAATCTAGACAACAAAGAGATTATTAACTGCCCGCACCCTTGTACATCTGGGGTCTAAGGTGTTCCCATCACACGTGCCAGGATGGTTTAATCTATGAGTCTATAGTCTTCCGAGTGGCAGACCAGATAGCGGACCACACAGCTAAGTCATTGGCCCAAGAGGCAGTAAAAAGTATGTTTCACCATAGGATGTATTGGCCAGGGTCATGAGAATGACCTTGAGTTCTGCCCAGTGAGTTCTGAGTGGACAACCACACCAATTTTCAGTTGAACGGCTGCAGCAGCCCCATGGACAGGAACAGGTTTCAACTCAGCCAGACCATCAGTAAGCCCGGCCCAGGCATTAAGGCGAACCTCTGGAAGTGAGGGCCCCACTGAGCCAGTGGCTTTACTTCAGGCAGTATAATGCCAATAAAGTTTCCCCAAGGCAGTAGCTGCCACTTTTTCATATAACCTGAGATGCTGCTGGAGCCAGGCCACTGCGTCCTTGAATATCCAATCTTCCATTTGACAAGCGAGGTATATTGGGCCTTTTCCTTATTAGTTGTCAAGTCTGAGTTGACCCACCCCAAAATGAGGACATCAGACTACAGAGTCACAAGGCCTCCATGGGTCAGGCCAACAAAAGCTGGTCAACAGGTCAATAGCCACCCCCCCATTTTAAAAGAGGTGTACTTGATGCCCGCATCAGGCAGGTGGCGATGTTGTACCAGGAAACTGCCTCTGCATTCTGCAACCAGTAAGTCTTTAACTAAAGCCATGATTTCCATTTCTTCTCAGATTTTATATTCCTTTTCTAGACCCCCAGGAAGAGGACAGAGATTACCTCTCCACCCGCCACAGTCGCCGAGTGGAAGAATCCGTCCTGGACGTCACGGGCATTCACGATACCGGCACGTACAACATAAACATCAACGCACGTTCAACAATGAAAGACCCAATAGTAACTGAATCTGCCCAAAAGGTCCTCCCTACAAGGTCACTTTAATTTTCCTTCTTCACAGAAAATGTTGCCCAAACCCTTTCAGTTGAATTTTGGATGCTTTTCCTCCCTGCAGCAGGGCTTCTCAACCTTGGCATTAGTGACATTTTGGGCTGGATAGCTGTTTGTCTGGGGAGGCGTCCTGTGTGCTGTAAGACGTTTAGCAGCATCCTTGCTTCTACTCCTACTATCTAGCAGTTCTACTGTTTCTAGTTGCAAGGAGAACACTCCACCTTCCTCCAGTCATGACAATCAAAGTTGTCTCCAGACATTGTCAAATGCTCCGTGGGGGCCCGGGGGGGGGGGGGGGGCGGTGCTAAATCACTTTAGTTGACAACCACACTCTATGGGAACATGGACCAGTGGACCAAGAAGTCTAACAGGGGCTACAGCTGATGGAAGTCCAGAAAAGTGAGAGGGATGCAGATGGAGGGAGAGGAGACAGGCTGTGAAGGATGGCTTTTTTATCCTTTATCTCTTCAAGCCAGGCTCAAAACCAGTTCCTCTGCACCCATTACTGCAGCTTCCCCCACAATCCTCACTGCCTTTATTCACCTGTGCATCCAGCACCCCCAACTAGCTGGGCGGGATTGTGACCTGGGCACCTATATACAACAACGCTAAAAATATCTGAGTTTCTCCCCTCCGTGAAGTTCCCCAAGCATACTCAGCTTTTTCCATAAAGCAGCTGAAGTTGGAGTGTGGGGGAAGGGAGGAGTCAAGAGGTATAGACGGACAGAGCAATTCCACTCCAGTAAGCAAGGCTTTGCATCAACTTTCAGTTTCAGGCAGCTACCAGCAGCTTGGGCTCATCCAAATGAACATCTATTTTTGGTCCACCTGAAGCTCTGTCTCCTTATTGCTGATGTCATTTATTTAAGCTTTGGGGATCCCTTGACTCAGCAGCTACAAACACTTTTGGCTACCCTATTTTCACTGCCCCAGTGCCATGCAACATCCCTTTTACCTCCTGTTCTTGAAGACAGTGAGCCCAACCAAAACATCATTTGGGTGGATTGTTTCAATCCTGCCTCTTGCCACTTAGCCTCTAAACACTCATTAACAGGGGGACCCTCACTCTGCCCCTTGCTCACGACTTGGGTGAGAGCATTCGCTACTGGATCCTGGAGAGTCTTCTCATATCCACTAACACAGCCCAGGGGATCTCCCAAAAAGACATGTCTCTGCCAGCATCCCATCTTGTCACCAAAACTGTCAGGCTCTGAGATTTTACCCTACACAAGCTAATAATTTAGCCTATTACTGTTCCATGGACGTTGGAAGAAGATACAAGATTCTTGGGTTAGAGATAAAGTACTCTATTACTCACATACAGCAAGTAGCATGAAAATAATGTTGCATCGGTTCCCCTTGGGGACACCAGGTAGAGGCCCAGTCGGATGCTACGCATTTAGTGAGTTTGCTCTGAAGCTGAGGAAAAGTGAGCTTGGGGAATCCACTGCTTTTATAGTAACCAGAAGACAGGTCTGAAAGAAGTATCCAGAATGAAGGACAAAGAGACCAAAGGATGGAAAAGAGCATAAGAGACACAGAGGCTACAGTAAGATTTCTAAAAAGTCGTTAAATTAATATGTGAAAGCAGTCTCTTCATAAACTGGACATGGAAGTGAGTCCAATCAATGACAACTTTGCTATTTTTTAACTGTTATTTTTCAATATTTTCAAAGCATATTCTGGGGGAAAATATTAAATAAGTGAGTAGCAGCAGCCTCCAAACAACGACATTATTGCTCCTGATTTCCAACACCTCCATCTCCCAGGATGAGGAGCATCTTTACCTGTGTGCACCTGCATTACAGGGCTGCAGCAGGGACCCCTGTGCTATCATCAGGGACAAGAAGCCCTGAAAAGAAGTGACTAAGGAACTCGAGACTATACGGTGATGGACCAAACTCCCCTCCTAGAACATTTAAGTTTTTCTCGTTTTCTGCAAAGAATAATTTATAAACTCAGAGTACTCAATAATTTTCATTCAAGTAAAATGATAGTTGATTACATAGAGGTTGAAAGCACAAACCCTGGAGCTAGATCAGCCTTTGCTTGAACCCCAGCATCGCCATCTATGAGCGATGTGACCTGAGCAAGTGACGTCACCACCCTGAATCTCTGTTTCCTCATGGGAAATGGCAACAATGTCACCAGCCTCAAGATTCATTGGGACATTTATCACATTTGGCTTTTATTCTTAGCTATGTTGAGGGGAAGAGTGCCGAAATGTAAAACAGGTGGCCAGGGGTTCCTGGTTCCCTGGAAGGCCGCTCAGGGATTCAGGCACTCAGGAGGTAAGAAAGAGAGCACAAAAATTAAGAATATGACAGGTGTGGAGGGAGTGGCAGTTGGACATTTGTGGGGGGCCAAGATGAGCCTAAGAATTGCCTTTCTTTATTATGAATATAACTTTTTTAAAAAGAAGAACAGAAAACATTTATTTCCAATTTCCTCTGGTATGAGGAAGACCCACAGTCAGTGAGGAACTGAGGTATTCTAGAGTTCCTCCAACAAGAATTCCTGGAAGGACCTCCTTATATGTCACTCATTGCCATACAGGTATCTCCCGCCTGGGCCACACTAGAGAAGGCTGAACAGCACCCAGGCCAAGAGGAAACAATAGAGCAGGGGGCAGAAAGAAACCAACAGTCAGTCAGTCAACAAACTGGTACTGTGCACCTACTGTGTGCCAGGCTTTGTGTTAGGGGTGATGAACAAGCTGACATGGTCCTACCCTCATGGAGTGTGTATTTCCAGGCAGCAGCTCCCTGGTGCCAACCTGCGGACATGCTAGAGTAGAATCACCCTTAGTATTTCGATTCCTCAGACTCTGAGCACAGATCCCACCCCTGACCTAATGAATCAGACATTCTAGGAGGTGGGGGACACAGGAGGCTGGATTCTTAGTAAGTGCTCTCTGGTGATTCTAAGAAACACCCCGTTTGGGAACCACCATTGGTGTTCCTGCAAGGGTGGTCAGACCCTCAAGCTCAGTATCTCCAAGAGTACTGCATAGGACTGTGTTTCAGTGCACCTCGAGGTTTGAGAACCATTGTGTAAGACTGCCTTTCTCTTACACCACTTCCTTTCTATTAAATAATACATGTGAAAGTGCACAGTGATTACAAAGCATGACACAGAGTTAATGGGACCTTGTATTTAGGACCTTTCTATAAACCGAGAAAGTCCAGTCTACACAAGTAACTGAAGTCAGTGTAGAAGATAATGAGGCATTCCTCGGAGCTTAACACTTTGTTTGTTTCTTTGCTGTTGAGATGTATGAGTACTTTATATACTTTGGACATTAACCCCTTATCAGACATAAAGTTTGCAAATATCTTCTCCCAATTGTTAGGTTGTCTTTTCGTTTTGTTGATGATTTCCTTTGCTGTGCAGAAGTTTTTTAGTTTGATGTAGTCCTATTTTATTTTTTCTTTTGTTTCCCTGACCTGGTGAGACATGGTATTTGAAAAGATGTTGCTAAGACTGATGTCAAAGATGGTACTGCCTACATTTTCTTCTAGAATTTTTATGGTTTCAGGTCTTATGTCAAGTCTTTGATTCATTTTGAGTTAATTTTTGTGTATGGTGTAATATAGGTGTCCAGTTTCAGTCTTTTGGATGTGGATATCTACTTTTCCCAGCACCATTTGTTTAAGAGACTCTCCTTGCCCCATTGTCTATTCTTTGCTCCCTTGTTGACAACTATGCCTGAACAGGAGGAAGCCAGAGGAAAACCTGGTGGAGGTCCTGTCCCATATTGGAAATATAGTAAATATTCCCTCTTTTGAAATTAAGCATAACCCTTTATATTTAAAAATTAAATATAAGTAGGGGAAAGCTGTACCCTATAGTGCAGCATAATGAGAAAACTGTGGGCTTGGGAGTCAGCCAGGCCTGAGGACTGAATCCCAGCTCTGGCACATTTCATATCTGCAAAATAGAGTAATATTCCTCATTTCACAGGGCCGCTGGAAGAGTCAAAGTGAATAACATACGTAAGGATCCAATCACGGGCCCCGCAGAGTGGGAGCGGGGTAATTCGTCCCAGTCGCTATTCGTATTAGCTATTGGTTGTTCAGCCCGTAAGCTGTTTTTCAGAAACTCAAGATAGCAAACTACAGTAACTTTCCATACAAGTTGAGCATGAAAACCTCACCCATCACCTTTCATCTAGAAAGATCTAATCACTTCTTTGGACGCACCTTGCCTGAGAGGGCGCAACTCCAACCAACCCAGGGAAAGCAGGTCCTGTGAGGAAGGCCCCCTCAGGGTAAACTCGCAGCATTTCTCTGACTCCGACCGCTGACAGCCTGCGTGGTAAAGTGCTGCTACACGGTGAAAAAAAAAAAAGGACAAGAAAAGAAAAACAGAATTACACATAGAAGCTTTGCATTCGTAACCGTGGACCCGGTGACGTCCTCGCAGGTCTGCGTGACCCCAGGCGCACTTGGCACGCTGTGCAAGCAGCGAAGGCGGGGCGGGGAGCAGGAAGCAGGGCGCGGGGGCGCGGGGACGCGGGGGCCTCGGGTACCGGAGCCGCCAGATCCCCGAGCCTCTGCTGCCCTGAGGGCCGGTTATTTGCAAACGCCGCGCGTCCTCCCACCCTTCGGTCTCTGTCCAGCGCGAGCCGGCAGTGCCCCTCCCCCCCCGGGCCCAGGCTGGGGCCCGCCGACGTGGGCGCGGGAGGCTTCGCCCGCTTCCTGCCGCTGACCGCCTAGCGACCGTCCCCTCAGGCCCAGGGCGAAGTCCCTCCAGCGGGCGGGGGTGGGGGCCCGCGCAGACGCCGGCCGGTCCCTGCTCCGCCCCTCGGCCGATGGCCCCAGGGACAGAGGGCGGAGCGCGGAGGCGGCGGCTGGCCCGCGCCGCGCACGGGAGCGCGCCCCGCAGCCCGCCGGCCGCCGTCGGAGCCCCGCCGTGCGCCCGCGGTGAGTCCCCCCCGTCCCCCCGGCGGGCTGAGCGCGGTGACTCCTTCCAGTCCCCGCGGCGGGCTGAGCGCGGCGCCCTGCCCGGAGCGGCGCGGCGTCCTCCGCGGGGCCGAGGCGCGGGCGGGCCGGGGCTGGGGGTCCGACAAGGCCGAGGCGACGCGGGCCCCAGTTCCTGAGGCCTGACCGCTCCGCCCCGGCCCAGCCCGGGCCGCGCTGGAGAGTCCCTGCCCCAGGAGGGTGTGCGGGCCGCGCTGGAGAGTCCCTGCCCCAGGAGGGTGTGCGGGCCGCGCTGGAGAGTCCCTGCCCCAGGAGGGTGTGCGGGCCACGCGGGGGAATCCCTGCCCCAGGAGGGTGTGCGGGCCGCGCGGGGGAGTCCTCACGCCAAGCCATGGTTGGCCACAGGGAAATCCTCACTGAGGAGCAGGCACGTGGGAGAATGCACACCAAGTGAGGAAGGGAAAATGCGTGAGGGGAAAGAGACGCCTCGGGGGAAAGGTTGGGCGCAGAGCCCACCCTGATTGATTCAGAGATCCAGGGGGAGCATGGGCCTCCGTTCCTGGTTCAGCCAGCACGTCAGAAGGGCGCATCTTCCTTCTTGTATCATACATGACCCTCCGCACGGCATGCGTGTTGCATGGCGGGCAGAGACAGCCTCTAGGACAGCAGTTTTCAAACTTTTGGGTGCTCAGAAAACCCCTTTACACTCTTAAAAGTTAGTATAGTAAGGAGCTTTTGTTTGTGTGGGTTACATCGTTTGATGTTTATGATATATAAGTAAAATTGAGAAATTTTTACTCTAATAATTAATTTAAAATAATAGTAGACCTCACAGAACATATATTTATGAAAATAATCATATTTTCCAAAACAGGATGTTACTGAGAAAAGTGGCATTGTGTTATGTTTTTGCAAATCTCTTTAATGTCAGGTTTAATGGAAGGCAGCTGGATTCTTATATCTCCTTCTGCATTCAGTCTGCTGCAATATCGCATGTCAAGTAGCCTCTGGAAAACTCCACTGTGTACTCCTGGGCACGTGAGGGTGAAAAGGCAGAGGGCATCTCGGTATGACTATGAAAGTGGTTTGACCCTGTGGCTCCCTGGGGTCCCTTTCACCACACTGAGAACTGCTGGTATAAGAAATGCTTTGGAGGCTCCACTCAGTGGGCCTGTTCCTTGTTCGTGATCCTTCTCTGAGTAGAAACATACAGCACCCTATGGCGTACCTCTGGTATTTGGGATCAAGCTTGACCTCATTTGGAAACCAAGTACTAGGTCCTCACATAAGCGAACGTGAGCCTTGCTGGCCTCCTGAAAACTCGGCAGGGTGCACAGGTGGCTTGCCTTGTTTCTGTGCCTGCAGAGCTCACTTGTCTGTGCATGCAGGTAGCAGCAGTGATGTTGCACACAGGGCCTGCGGGCTCTGAGAAGAACCTGTGAGGATCCCGTGCCAGGTGTGTAGGGGTTCAGGTGACAGTTACCAAGTGGTCAAGAAGTTATTTCCAAAAGAATGAGGAGGCATGCTTTTGCCTTCCTTTCCTCAGGTTCATTTGTAGTTGTGTAACCTTGAGTTTATTGGAATATGATTCCCCAGTCTTGGTGCTCTTTCACTTTCCACTTTCAGAGGTTTGTTGCTGTGAGGGGTCCTTCCTCAGCCCTTACTAGAAGGCAATGTCCTGCATTGTGGTGTGTGGTAGGTGGGATCCCTCTCTGGATTATTTCCTTGGCTTCATGCTCTGTCGGCACACAAGTTCCAGATAGAAATTACATCCATATATACCCCAAAGGAAAATGATTCTCTAACTCTGTGCTCCCTTTTGTTCATCCATCCACAGAGCCTCTGGTGCTCTGATGAAGCAGCTTGAACCACACTGATACTTTGCGTGTTGCATCTGTTGTTGCGCTGTCCACAGGTGGGAGAAGGGGAGAACCCTAACCTCTGAGCACCGGCTGTGTTCTTTGTGTAAAACTCCACTTTGATGGTAGGTCTCGTTCCTTCCTCCCTGCGGTGGACATTACTGACCACCCGCTTACCACACGCCCAGGTCTGTCCTGGGCGCTGCGGAAGGTAGCGGGCACAGGGTAGTGAGACGCAGTCCCTGTCTTTCTGGAGCTCACAGTCTGGGAGCTGAGGTAACTGCTGGTGGATCGAGACAGAGTGCTGTCAGCATGTTCACATGCAACATGGCCCTGTGTGAAGAACAGTGCCCCGACCAGACGGGGGCCTCAGAGCACGTGCTAAGGGAGTCAGAGTTCCAAACTGTGAAGGGGATGATAAAGTGCACATTTATTACCATGTGCCTGGCAAAGAGCTTCATTTGCCATCCTTCCTTCGCTCCTCCTTGTATGAAGGAAGTAACTCCCAGCCAGACTCCAAGCAGGGAAACATGCTCCAGCCTGGTCCCAGTCACTGGGCCAGTCTTGGGCAAGACACTTTCTCTCTCTGAGCCTCGGTGTCTTCGTCTTTAAACTGAAAGATTGGGCCATTGATGTCCCAATGGGGACATTGCAGATGTCCCAAGGAGCCAGTGGTTTGCTGGAGCTGGTTGGTATTAGCGTTTGTGCGCATCTCTTCCCAATTCTTTGTTCAGTGGCATCGCATTTTTTAGCTTGAAATAAGCCATTATGGGAATATTTATACCATGAAATAGGCAAATGCTGTAAATCAGGGCTTCCCCCACCTCCCTGGAGAGCAGGTTGTTAAACATTTGTCAGCACATCATTGCTATTGTCTGAGCCACAGTGCTTTCTTTTTGTCTGTGTTTTAGTAGAAAATAAACTCTGGACAGAAACGCTGGATACGGGGTGTGTGATTCAAGTCCTCCAAAACTTTTGATAGAAAAAAACTGTATTTGGCACCCGCTGGAGCATGGGTCAGCACACTTTTCTGTAAAGGGGCAGGAGTCAGTATATCAGGCTTTGTGGGCTGTACGGGCTCTGTTAAAACACTAAGCTCTGCTGTCGCAGTGTGAAAGCAGCCACAGACAGGATGCAAATGAATGAGCACAGCTGGGGTCCAATAAAACTTTATTTGCACAAGAGGTGCTAGGTGGTAGTTTGCAGACCCTTGTCCTAGAATGTCAGAACAGGACCTGGGCTTCAAGGAGGTAGTTTCATGGAAAAGGAGATTCTTCAGGACTTTATGCATGAATACCAACCAGGGGCTTGATGCTCCAAGATAGCTGGAAATAGCAACTGCCAAGGATTTGGAATCAAATCAAGAAGAATCCATAGGAGGTTGTTTAAAGGAAGGCCAGGTATGTTGAAGTTTTGAGGACACAACCACGGATGTGAAGTGGGGGTCTTTATTCCCAGCTGCCTCTCTGGAGCCGTCTCAGACATTCTGCCGGGATGGATGGACCTGCAGGCTAACCAAGGGTGTGAATTTGGGGCGTTCTTATGCAAAAATAAGTAGTGTCTCTAATAGCTATTCCAATTCCAGGGACAGAGACAAAGGAAATGCTTAAAAAGGAAGGAAAATCCTCATTATATGTGTAAATATTATAAACTGTATATGTACATCGTGAGTATGTATGCAGATGGGTACAGGTTTCCCTCGCTCTCTGAAATTTCGCTTTACGGAAGACTTACGTTAGTAGTACCTGCTTCCGCTAACTGAAAGAAATCCAAAGGTGATTTTCGTTTTTACGAAAAAAGGCAAAAGGTGAAAATAGTGTTCAGCATTTGTTTTGCAGTGAGCTGTTATAGAAGCTAAGCCGTCACGCATAGGAGCAGTGAGGTCTTTCAAGCATTCCACATCAGCGGATGAGGAAATCGACCTTCCGCATCAAGGCAGGCAGACGGAGAAGGGGGTGGAGACATGAGTGACGTGCCTGCCCTGGTGGATTCAGGTGACGATGAGATGTTGATAGATGACCCTCTTCCTCTCTCTCCTCCACCCCAGTCTCCTGTGTCTCCCATCACTCCAGCCTCCGGCGACTCAGCCTAACGCACCATCATCACCATCATCACCACCTCTCTGCCGTCCAGTGTGCTCACTGTCTTCTCCATTCTGGTAAGTGGCGCTACACTGTACAGACGTGATTCCTACTTCATATAGGCTTTGTATTTCTCATATTGTTCCTGCTTTCACCATATGCCAGTGTTAGCTTAGGTTTTATGTGTTATTTGGTAGGTTATTTTTTGGGTCTGGGAACACTCAAAAATTTTTCCCATGTAATTTCATGGTAATTTCTTCTTTGCTTTGCACCATTTCAGCTTATGAAGTGTTTCATAACGCTCTACTGTCAAATAGCAGGGAAACCAGTATATGCCTATTTGTGTATCTATATATGTACCTAAGTTGTGTGGGAGTGCGATGACGTGTATTTAAAATAGCCTTGTAAATGTTTGGAAGACAGACATACCAAGCTATTGACAGTAGCCAGTTCTGGGCGGTGGAATGGGGTGGAAGGAAGGCAGGCAAGTTTCACTTGTTACTTTTTGTTAACACCATAGTCTGCCTGCCCTGCAACATTCATGTTTTGCTTTTACAACCTGAAAACAAAGAAAACAACTCAAACCTCAACAACCTATACTTTTTAAAGAAAGATAGGATTATTTCTCTGGTTAGAATGTTACCAGCCCCTGCTCCCCCAATAAAACAAATTACTTTAATGGTCACATCACACTTCTGAATTAGTATAGATGAACTCAAAATCATATTGAGAAAGAGCCCTCTGAGATCACAACGTTTTATTAAACATTATTATTTGACTCAAGACCATGTCCGGGATTAAAAGTACC